AATATTCTGGGCCATATCTTTACCACCTCTCCAGGCTTGATCATAAACGTTGTAAATTTCATCTTCTCCCCCTGCAAAACCACTGTCCATACCCTGTGGGAAAAGGACATTAAATAAAAATGTATTATTAAAAGTTGGATCTGATTACATTCATGTAATCATTTATAGTGCATTTTCAGCAATCTGAACTGCAAATTAAAAAGATCTTCATAAAAAAACAAAGTCCATAAACTTTTATTCTTACCACCTTTGGTCCTTAAAGTGCTAATTAACAAGTTTGACCACTTTAGTGAAGTAGTCATTAAAATTGGATAGTGTAAGCAGGTACTTAACAATTTCAGTTGTACAGACAGTGGCAAGAAGACAAAAGAACTATAAAGTATTTATCTGATGTTATTTACTTATTAAGTAATTAAGTTCTTTGCCCAACATGGGGCTTGAACTCACAACCCCAAGATTAAGAGTTGGACGCTGTATTGACAGTATCTCAAGGCATTTAGAATAATAATGCTATACCCCTTAACTCCTTGAGAACATCACTATTATAGCATGGGACAATAAGGCTCTTTTTTTTTTTATTTTTTTAAAGATTTTATTTATTTATTTGACAGAGAGATAGAGAGAGAACACAAGTAGGCAGAGAAGCAGGCAGAGGGAGAGGGAGAAGCAGGCTCCCCGCAGAGCAGGGAGCCTGATGCGGGACTCGATCCCGGGACCCTGGGATCATGACCTGAGCCGAAGGCAGCCGCTTAACCAACTGAGCCACCCAGGCGCCCGACAATAAGGCTCTTAATGAAAATCCTAAGTCAACAATGAACAAATTTGTTTCATATATTTGGATGGTTCCTTAATACAGGGATGTGCTTTTTTAGAAAAAATTTTATCACAGCTTTGAAATAAGCTTAAGCTTGTAATAGGTGAATGACTGTCATAAATACTTAGGTGGAACTTTCATGCCTAACACCCCTTTGCTCAGGCTGGTAAGTTACCATTGCATTGTGTTAAAGAACACAACCTTTGAAATCAAACGTTTGAATCTTTTATCAATTTCTAGCTAAACCTCTATGTGTCTCAATTTCCTCATCTACAAGTAGAGATTATAATAAATAGTATGACTTCATAGGTTTTTGTAAGGATTAATTGAGATAATAAAAGACTTAGAACAATGCCAGGAATGTAAAAAAGTACCCAATAAGTTATTAACTAGAAAAACTTACTCAAATGCTACCTTCAAATCTTAAATCCTCCAAGTCATAATACATTTTTCCCCTCTGTATCCCAGTAGAACATTATACTTCCATATTTTTATTGCAGTCTGCCCTGTCCTTATTTATACATATATATGTATTTTCCAGTAGACTCGAAGGTTCCTTGAGGGCAAAGGCATATCTATCTTTGATCTCACTGTCTTTAGCACAGTATATAATCACTGTTGGGTGGATGAACACATAAAGGCACTTCTTCGGGCCTAATGTATCCTAGCTAGTTAATAATGATAGGTATTAGAAATCACATTTCCTGCAACTAGTGTAGCACTTAAATTTAGTTTTATAGCTTCACCTTTTAAAGATCTCAAGTTATGTTTCTTTAGCATTAAGTTTGTTTTTCAAAGATCAACAAAAAACCCAAGAGATACTTTTGAAGGACACTGGCTTTATAAATAAAAGACTGATATACTAAAACCAAGTTTTGTCACCTTATTTCTTTCATTTTCTACCAGTGTCTTAAATCTTAGCCAACTTTAAGAGGTCAAAATCAGAGTTGTTTCATCTTACATCAAATAAGATGAAATAAGATAAAACAGTTCTGTAAGTCACAACACGCAACTTCTAATTTTTTTCTCTCACTATGCCAGCACACCTTAGGCTGATCAATCTATGATAGGTTAGTTTTCTTTTCCCTGAGGACTGGTATTCACATCAACACTTAAGACATGTTATTTCTAAACTCCTTGTACCTTGGACTGGTTGAAAAGCCTTTGGTCATACTGAACTTCATTGGACGTCCGAGGATTGGGCACACCAAGAGCAATGACTTCACTGATATCTCGATTTTCATTTCTCTGTAGTTTCGACCTGTTTCAAAATACAATGTCACTAACAAAACTCTTCACAGACAAGCTGAATTTCAATTTCAATACAACCAATCTCAGAAGCAAAGTTAACGAATACGTCCTGTTCATATCTTGTGAACATATATCCCCTGATAATGCAAAATCAGGTTGGCAGTCCTTAGAGCATTTCAGAGACATGGTTATTAGAACAGGTAGGGTTTTACAATCAGGCCTTCCTGTTAGCTGAAAAGAACTGTCAAGAGACTCACTCTGGACATGAAGTCTTTAATATAAGCAATCACCTTACAGGGACAGCATGCTGAGATATGAAATTGCTACGGTCTGTATTTGCTATTATACAAGGACTGGGGGGGACTGGATGCAAATCAGATGTATCATATGAATCACTTTCAATAAGACAGAATCTGTTCTTTACCTAAACCACATTTAGTAATTTTATCCTATTAGAATTTTGAGGAAAACATGTCAATGACTGAATTACTCAGTATGATTTTCAATATTCAGATTATCTTAATTCCCCTGCTGTTTCAGTATATATGCAATCTACATTGTAATGAAACCATGGTAACCGTCATCATTTATTTTACCAGAAACTCAGGTCTTAAAATAATTTCTATAGACAACCTGATTTTCACCCAATAACAAGTTTACAGCTTTTCTATGTTATCAATTCTCATAACCACTTTACTGGTTTTAAGGGCCCAATTTATCTAGAGTCCTCTTGATTTTTACAGCTTAGGAATTTCAGACCAAGAGTATCATTAATTGTGCACTTTCATGTTCATTCCTCTCTCTTCTACACTGCACATTTACCCACAACTCTAAATACAGATTTTCTGCTTCTCCATGACTTCACTTATCCAGGGAGATGAGCTATGCCATTAAATAACAAAGAGCACCACCAGCAGGAATCATCTTTTTCATGTTTAAGACATGACTTGAAAAAATGGATTGTATCAGCTCACAAAGTGATTAGAGCACATGGAAAACTGCTCATATGGAAAGAAAATGTTTTATATTTTAACCCTCACTCAGAATTCAGTGCTCAGCCTTTGGTGAAGCATAAACTTTGCCAATCCTTACTTTACTGCAAGTCCCCATACATGTATTTTGCTTGTTCCATGCAGTTCTGTACTTATTAGCAGTGTTGTGTTAATTTTCCCAAGTAATTTTATATGGTAGCTCTGTCTTTCTGAATTTTAAGTGAACTACTCATGAGAAGAGGCCAATTTTCACTTCTCACAAAATCTGCTCTTCTCCCCCATTGTACTCGGGACGGCCCTCTGCATCTACGTAGGATCTCAATGAAGGTACAGAATCTTCTTCCCTGTCTAGGGGAATAGGCGCATAAGTTTGTCTCACCACTTGAAATAGGAAAAGAACAGACCAGAACAGTCCTATCTACTACCTTCTTTTCACAAACATGATCTGAATTCCCTTTTCTATGTCCCTGTCATTCACAAGTCCAGCTAACTCTACAAGGTGATGCGAAAGGATATACTTTAGGGACAGTCAATTCTTCTGCTAAGAAAAAGTAGGTAGTTTAGTGTAAGAAAATAAGTGCTGATTTAGTAAGTTATCAATCTAGAGAGGAAAGGGAGAGAAGCAAAACTGGTCTCAATGGACTAAACCTCTTCTCAAAAAGGTTCACAAAACCCACTCCTCATAATTTGCATTTCTCTCAAATAGCACCCACCTCTTATCAGGAGCTGCCCTGGAAAGATTCCTGTCGTGCTGTCTCTCTTTTCGCCTATCATGCCGGATTTCATCCCTCTCACGTGCCTCCCCATCCTCTGTGTAAACAGAGTTGAAAATTACTTCATCACTATATTACCCATTCATATTTGGAACAAGAGAATATTCTTTAACCCATGACAGATAATTCCATGAATTTCTTTATAGTCACATTCAGCCCTTTTAACTCACTTGCAATTAATTTAAATCCAATAGTATTTGTTTAATTTTTGAATGTGAATTCCAGAATCATGCATGCAGCTCAAGTGTTTAGAGGTAAAGTATACTGATGACTTTAACTTAATTTGAAATGCATCAGAATTGCAAGGTGAATTGACAGATGGATAGAAAGATCAGTAGACAGATGATAAAGCAAATTAAGCAATGTTAATTGTTAAAAAAAGTTAACTGTAGAATCTAGGTGGTGGAGATATGGATGTTCATTGTATAATTCTTTCAACTTTTCTGTGTGTTTCAAAACAGTCATATTCAAATTTCAGCAGGGCGCCTGGGTGGCTCAGTCATTAGGCGTCTGCCTTTGGCTCAGGTCATGATCCCAGGGTCCTGGGATCGAGCCCTGCGTCGGGCTCCCTGCTCGGCGGGAGGCCTGCTACTCCCTCTCCCACTCCCCCTGCTTGTGTTCCCTCTCTCACTGTCTCTCTCTGTCAAATAAATAAATAAAATCTTTAAAAAAAATTTTTTTTTTTCCAGGAAAAAATTATGTGTAAATTTACCCTTATATTTTCAAAGATTGGCTGAATAAAGAACCTTCTGCTCGTGGTCCACAGGGGCTGGTTGTATCTTGATCTCTACCTACTGTGTTTATGTCTATCTTCATTTTCTCTTCTCTCTCCAGTCTGAAGGGATACAGCTTTGGAGCCAGCCTGTCTGGATTCAAATCCTGTTCCTATGATAGATTAACCATGTGACCTCATACAGGTCACTCAACCACTCTGAGCCTTAGTCTCCTCCTCTGTAAAATGGTGACAATCCTAGAACCACTGCAAGGGGTTGCTGGAGCCAGGATTATAAAGGCAATACATGTCAAGTGCTCAGAGTGGTGTCTTCTATAATAAGCAATCAATAAACATTATTTCTTTTTAATATCTGACAACACATTTTTCAGAATTTTAGCTAATTCCTCAAGAACCATTCTGTGTTTTTTGTTTTTAATTTCTTACCAGTGTAGAGACTTAGATATAGGGAAATCTGACTTCTAATTACCTTTAGTGGCTAAGTGTATGTACAACAGGCAGGTTTTTATATCTTGCCTCACTAAGTCATTCATATATGATTCAAGGATGTGGATCACTACTTATAATTCTGGTTACTTCTCTATAGCTGAACTCTGGACTCCTATAACCAATTGCCTGCTTGACACCTCCATCTTAAACTTAACATGTCTACAACTAAACTAATCTTTCCCTCCCAAACTTCTTCCCCTGCAGTCTTCCCACTATTAGTAAATGGCAACTCAATCCCTCCCAATTGCTCACGTCAAAAGCTGTGGAGTCATCCTTGACTCTTTTTCTTCCATACCACTACCTAATCCATAAGCAAATTTTGTCAGCTCTCTCTCCATGGTCTGTATCTGACCATGTTTTCCCTGCCTCTCATCATCATCTCTCATCTGGTTACTGCAATAGCCCTCCAAATGGTTTCCCTACTCCTCCACATGCCCATTTCACAGCCTGCTCATATATGGCAGATCATGCTGCTCTACTCCAAGTCTTAACTGCTTCCCACGTTATCTGAAGTGAAAGCCATGTTGCTAAAATGGCTGAAAGACCACACATGATCTGGCCACTACTCTTCCTATTTACTCTAACTACTCCGACACCTCATCTACTATTCAGCTTTCTTACTCCAATCCAGCTATACTGGCTCCTGCTTTTCCTTTAACACAACAGGTATACTCCCAACTCAAGGCCTTTGCACTTGCTGTTCCTTCTATCTGGGATGCTCTTCAAAGCCCCAGATATCTACAAGGCTCACTTCCTTACTTCCTTCAAGTTTCTGTGCTAACGTTACCATCTCAGAAGTGAGGTCCATTCTGACCGCCCTCTCCTTCTGGCACTTCCTGTTTTATTTTTCTTCACAGCAATTATTACTGTACTATTATCCCTAATCATCTAGTAATGATAATTAACTTTTTGGTCTGTTTACACTCACTAGAATGTTCACTACTATACACCCAACCTAACAGAAATCCTTGTGTCTAGAAAAGAACCTTGCATATAGTAGATGTTCAATATGAATTGAGTCAATGAATAATTGTACTAGTCTAGGATTTATTAACGAAACAAACTGCCCTCACAACTTTCTTGAATTAGAATTACTCTTCTCACTCTAAATGAATTAATAAACCAGTGTAAACACTAAATAAAGCCAGAGAGAAAATATTGGCAGATTTAATGATTATAGGTTTATTAGCCTACAAGTTAGAAAAAGTGGATTATTTTACTATGTGGGAAAGCTGAATTATTCAGTTGGAGATCTCATTTTTCTAAGTTTCAAGAAAATTAAAATGAGAGAAAAATCAAGCCCATCACTTGAGTAATACATGATTTTTAAAAGTACATTACTCTGAACTTTAAAAATGTCCACTGTAGTCCCATACTAAAGGCCCTTCTTTAAATATATACTCTTAGGGTGCCTGGGTGGTTCAGTAATTAAGTGTCTGCCTTCGGCTCAGGTCATGATCCCAGTAACCTGGGATCCAGCCCCACTTGGAGGGGGGGAGGGGAGGGTCCCTGCTCAGCGGGGAGTCTGCTTCTCCCTCCCCTGGCTCTTGTGCTCTTACTCTCTCTCTCCCTCTCAAATAAATAAAATCTTAAAAAAATACATATATATTATTTTCTACTGCTACAGCTCAGTAGCAGAAGTTACTCTTTCATTTCTATATTATTTGTGAAATATCTACATTTTCTTTATAGGTGTGTATTAGTTTTGTGTGCAGTAAAAACAACAGTGAGTCTCTAAAATGAGATATGTATTGTTCATATTGTAAATTCAGCTGAGGAAAGAGAATGTCATACCTTTTTCCACATGGGTTTTGATCCCAGCTCTTCTCTCCCTGGCTTTCTGGGCCATTTCTCTAAGTTTCTCTTCATGTTTCTCCTTTTCTTTTTGAGCCATCTTTCTCTCTACTTGAGCACGCATTTCTACAGCTTCACGAGCCTGTTAGTAAAGTTGAATGTTAAATAAGACATGGTTGGGGGAAAAGTTACAGCTATCATCCAATATCCTGACTGAAGTTTGGCTTGAAAGAGCAGGTATAAAGAATTCAGATTTGTTACTGCTGGTTAAAACAAAGATTCTTGTCCACTAAAAGAAAGCTCACCTGGAAGACACTGCAAACTTAGATTTTTCATTCTGGAAAATGTTTTAGTGGTTGAAACTTATTATAATGAGTCCTATAATCTTGCAAGTCACTGTTTCACTAATGCTTTCTCAGAAACAACCCAAAAAATAAAAATTAAACAAGACTCTAATAAAGAAATTTTCAGTATCAATAACATAGCAGGAATTGGTTATGTGTTCAAAATCAAGCAAATCTATTTAAGATAAAGCCTTTAGCAAGAGATTTTTATAAGGGTGCTTGCTCTGATGCAGGAGATACATTTTTCTATGTTCTAAATGCATGCCATAATGTATGTGAACTTCTAGGTCACACACACTAGTAATATTAATGTCATAATATTAATAGACAACCAATATTATGACTATCATTTCCTACAGCATTCATCAGAATGTTTATTTGCCTTTCTATGCTACCGACCATTTGGGAGACATCTGTATTTAAAACAGAAAAAAAAAAAATGAAATCTAAAAACAGCAGTCGATCATTTCTTTAAAAATGAGATCGGGGTGCCTGGGTGGCTCAGTTGGTTAAGCATCTGCCTTTGGCTCAGGTCATGATCCCAGGGTCCTGTGATCGAGTCCTGCATAGGGCTCCCTGCTCAGCGGGGAGTCTGCTTCTCCCTCTGCCTCTGCCCGTCTCTCTCTCTCTCTCTGTCAAATGAATACATATAATCTTAAGGAAAAAAAAAATAACAATGAGATTAGCCTAGTGAACCATCGTTCTGGAATGTCGTGAGGAAGCTGGATCGCCAGTGGTAGGGTGTGTGCACAAGTCTACACAGGCTGAGACCAGGTACAGAGCTGCAAACAGCACATGCTGTCTCTGGCACACGTGCCACAGGTGTGAGCCTCGCTGGGTACTCAGTACTGTAGCTGAAACAGCAGTGTCTTCTGTAAATCAAACCATCAGGCTGAATGGCTTAAAATTTACAGTGATGTGTCAATTAAACTGGAATGAACAAACAGTATCTTAGGTAACCAAAAATAGATTTACAAATTATCAAGAGCATTAAACCCTTTCACTATAAGAGACCAACCTTCCGATCAGCAATATAGAGGGCTTCGGCCAGCTTGGCAAAGTTCTCATTGATGTGAACTGTCTGCAGGCCTCTTCCATCAGCAGCCAGACGTTTGTCTAATGGAATTGTATACCCCTGTGTGACAGCAGGCAGAAAACACCGGTCATAAAAGAGCAGCAATAGATTCTTTAAAATTAGATTTAAATATGTCTATTTTGACCACCACTGAGCTGAAGTTCTTCTTCTTACATCTTTCTTCACAATTATGCAACAGCAGCAGCTAACACCGACAACTTCGTGTGGAGGCCAATTCAAAGCACTTCCCATTTGCGGTCCCATTTAACCTTCACAGTAACTCTGGAAGGCTGGTAACAATGTGTTTCCATTTCACAGATGCTGCTGCTGAGGTAGGGAGCTTAGGTGAATGTCCCCAAGGGCACACAGTTAATAAATGGATGAGCTAAAATTTAAACTTGGGCAGTGTGATGTCAGAGCCCAAGCTCTGAGCAAATATTCTCATGTTAATAATTTTGAGTTATAATAAAAGGAAATCACTATCAAATAGCTAAGCAGTTGTTCCTCAAGTAATAGAACAGTCATACAAAAGTGGAACAAATCACTAAAACCTGAGAATATATAGGTAGTTTAATGTGTGGTACTATTTTAATGACTTGTCAGATTCTTAGAATACTGTAAGTTTTAGTAAATGGAAAAAAGATAAGTTATTTGATAGACAACTGAGATTCTTCCTGTTCTGAAATTTTGCACCCTATTTTCACTAACTCAAGGAATATGCTTGAACATCCAGGACATTTCAGGCTTAGCTATATTTTTCCAGATTTATGACTACATTCCCAAATGTTGACCTCTTGTCTATAGTCTTTACTGCTAATACAGGGAAGTGTTACAGAATCAGCTCAAGATACCACATAGTTACATATACGTTAATCAAGCCAAAATGGACTACCCAATAATTTTTTTGTTATAGGGTGAGTGCATAACTTTCTTTAGGAAATAATTTATATTTAATCTACAAATTAAAGTGGCCTTCTTCACTCATCAAAAATAGAATTATGAAACACAACTTGGGGGAAATGGGGCAATAGTGATTAGAAAATATATTTCAGGGGTGCCTGGGTGACTCAGTTGGTTAAGTGTCCGACTCTTGGTTTCAGCTCAGGTCATGATCTCAGGGTCCTGGGATCGAGCCCTGTGTTGGGCTCTGCACTCAGGGCAGAGTCTGTCCATTTCCCTCTGTTCCTCCCCTGCTTGTGTGCTCTCTCTCTCTCAAATAAATAAAATGAAAAAGAAAAAGAAAAAGGAAGGAAAATATATTTCACATTATTTTGCAGATACTTCATGACTCCTGGAAGTGTTGGTGCTTAGAGATATGAAGGATTTAAATAGCTTATGCACACATTGTTATAAACAGAAAAAAATGTTTAAAAATTAAAGCACTGAATATGGCCAAACATTTATTCTGTTTTGTCATATTATCATTTAAACTGGTTTAAGAAATGATTTTAGATTATCAATTTCTAAATTTTCTAAAGAATACTATCATTCATGGATATGTTACTTTATTCTACCTATCCTTTCTCTATATGCTTCTGATAACTACAATTCACTAAAAGAATCTACACAGTATTGATGTGACTGGAATACTATGTTTCTATTACATTAAAGAAAAGAAAGTCACATAAGTTGGGTGTTCCTTTTTGAAAACACTCAGCTAAGTGAGATGCTGAGGATTTAATGAAAGTTTCTGAGGCTAAAGCTCCTTCCTGTTTCTCAGTAGGTTCTAATAGTAGGAGACTGATTTTATGAAACTTAATTACCTTTGCATTTTTCCAGTTTGAAATACAAGGAGGGATCTTCCACTCTTGTTGCTCCTTCACGGTCATCTGAGTGGACAAAAGAATGGAAGAAGAGACATTTTCCAATTTGTAGTCCAGCTAAAAACCTATGTACAATGTTCTCTTCAAAGACAGTTCAATAAACACGGACATGTGAATAGATTTAGTCAAAGGTCAAAATTCCATTTGTTTGGTAGCACTATATATTATGTTCCCATACCATGGATTCTAATAATAACTTTAATATAAAAAATGGAAAATATTCTACAAATTATTTTTGACAATTATAAATGCTGGTGAGTATTTTTCCATATTTAAAGTGATGTGAGAGGCACCTAGGTGGCTTAGTTGAGTGTTTGATAACTCTTGGTTTTGGCTCAGGTCATGATCTTAGGGTCGTAGGATCAAGCCCTGCATTGGGCTCCGCTCTCAGCGGAGGGTCTGCTTGGGATTCTCTTTTCCTCTCTCTCTGCCTCTGCCCCTCGTCCTACTCATGCATTCACTTTCTAAAATAAGTAAATAAATCTTTAAAAAAAATAAAGAATTGGTCTATTAAAAAATAAAGTGACAAGACTTCTTTAAGATGAAAATTTGTTCTTTCAGTTGGATAATAAATCATACCTAAAAAATGCCACTCAGATTATCAGAGGCCTATTAATCCCTCACTTCCTCTATGATAATATCCTGCTTATCAAATAGCAGACCCTGTTCATTCCATTTAAAGCAGGGGTCAGGCTAATAACATGAAAACTAAAAGCTAACATTTTACATACATTCTCATAAGCACTCTGGAACTACACATTATAGTCCTGAGTGGGTCCTTATTTGATCTTAAAAATCATATTAAAAAAACAGTAAGCATGGCAAAATGTACCTGTATAGGCATCTAGACTTTGTTCTATGGGAGGTTACTTATAAAATTAATAATCATGAGTACAAAAAAAGATGTTAGATTACAGCAAAGATTACCTTTCGGCTAGGAGAATGCATGACAGGTGCAGGAGGGGAAGGTGGTCCTCGAGGAATTTTCTTATTAATCCTGAAGGATAAATCAAAGCACAACCAGAGAGTGTTAGACATTTTTCCATTTTGGTTAATATGTCTCAAGTTTCCCCTTCCCATTTATAAAGCTTCAAACATATACAAAAACAAATAGAGTTTATAATGAATGTTCATCTATCATGTATCAGTCACTCAGCATCCACAACTGTTAAATCACAGCCAACCCTGTCATCATCACTACCCACCTCACCTCCACAATATCATTATCATTTCACAGGGTAATATACTTTTTTTTTTAAAGTAGGCTCCACAACCAACATCAGGCTTGAACTCATGACCCCAAGATCAAGACTTACATGCTCTACCAACTGAGCCAGCCAGGTACCCCTACTTTTTTCTTTTCTTTTATTTATTTATTTTTTAAGAGAGGGAGTGGGAGAGGGACAGAGAGAACCTCAAGCAGGCTCCACACTCTGTGAAGCCTGACGTGGGGCTTGATCTCACAATCCTGAGATCATGAGCTAAGCTGAAATCAAAAGTCAGATGCTTAACCGAATGAGTACGCAGGTGCCCCTACTTTTATTTTTTTAGAGTGGGGGGAGGGGCAGAGGGAGAGAGAGAATCTTATGCAGGCTCCATGCCCAGTGTGGAGCCTGACATGGGGCTCAATCCCGGGACCCTGAGATCATGACCTAAGCCAAAATCAAGAGTTCGATGCTTTATGGACTCAGCCACTCAGGTGCCCCATTTTTTTTTAAAACAGCTTTATTGAGGTACAACTGACATGCAATTAACTATACATATTTAAGTGTACTGTTTAAGTCTGACACAAGTATACACCTGTGAAACCTATCATCACAATCAAGATAGTGAACATACTCATCACCTCCAATTTCTGCACGTCCTTGCCTATCCTCCTTGTTCCTCTCATCCCCTCTCCTCCCTTCCTTCACCACAGGCATTGATCTACCTCCTGTAACTACAGATTAGTTTTCATTTTCTAGAGTTTTATATAATTGGAATAATACAGAATGTACTTGTTTTTGTCTGGTTTCTTTCACTCAACATAATAATTTTGAGATTCATCCATGTTATTTCATGTATTAAAAGTTTACTCTTTTTTATTAAATTAATTAAAACAATTATTTTAGTATCAATAGTATTCCATGTATAAATGTCCCACAATTTATCCTATCACTTACTAATGGACATTTGGGATATTTTGCTCCTCTCATATCTTTTTTAAGAACAGTGTTTTATTGGGGCGCCTGGGTGGCTCAGATGGTTGAGCCTCTGCCTTCAGCTCAGGTAATGATCTCTAGGTCCTGGGATCGAACCCCATGTCAGGCTCCCAGCTCAGCATGGAGTCTGCTTCTCCCTCTCCCTCTGCCTCTCCCCCTGTTTGTGCTCTGTCTCTCTCAAATGAATAAATAAAATCTTAAAAAAACAAAAAACACAAAACAAAACGGTGTTTTATTCTCATGAGGCTACCTACTTACTTGAACCTTGGAGGCTCCATTGGATCTTTCTGCATTTCCACCATCCGAATAACTCTCTGTTTAGCTCCAGAGTTGAAAGCCACTCCTTGTTGAGATGGTGTATATCTGAAGAATGCAGATGAAACTAAAGGTATAACTAGTTCAAACTCAATAGGTATTTGTCTTCTGTTATAATTCTAAGCTAGACTATACTGTCAATTCCTTTCATAAAGTATTAATAGAAAGTAGCAAAAATATTTAGGCAGAGCAGATAGCAATGGAAATAAGAGAACTAAGAGTAATAATGAGTTGTAAGCAAAATGTAAACTAGAGTCGTATCAGTTTGCAAATAATCCATCCCTGGCCATTTTCCACCATGGAAGGCACGGTGTTCAATTTCACAGATAAGAGGTCTAGAAAATGGTACCTATTTTGTAAGTTTGCATTTGCAGAAGAAACGCCCCATAATATTCTCAGCAGGCAGCTTAGAATTAGTAGTTCTTGACTAATCATAGGTTGTAAAACAGAGAAAAAATAATAGTAGCAGCTCTATAAGCTGATTTTTCCTATAATACCTACATGTGAATCATCTCTCTACATAAGGATTTAGTTGAATGAAATCCTTCAAAATGTATAAGTATTATAAAGATGCCTATTATTATATAAATGGTATTAGTACACTACTAATATTCTGTTATTATACTATTATTACATGTTATATAACTACTATTATATAGTAATTTTGACATAATATTATATAAATATATGTTATATAAAGCCTATTATATACAAATGGGAAACTATAAGTAATATTTGCAGTTTGGATCATATGCTGTGAGTAATTATTAATTTCTAAAAACAAAAAATACATTTTGAAAATAGCCTAATAGCTAAATATCTTCTAAGTAGATATCTTTAAAAAATTCTGCTTTCAATAGTCTGCACAGAGTCAATAGGCTTCAGGTCACTATTCAAAAAATTACATTTTCAACTGTGACTAAGTAGGATAGTGAAAGAATACCAGGACCCCCAATCCCAATCAAGTCCGATGTGAAACCAAGACTTCCAGGCAAGATCATACCGAATATACTGAGCAGGAGCCAGTTTATCAGCAGCTCGAACTGGCATGGCTGCAGCAACCTTCTGTGATACAGATTTTTCTAAGGCTACTCTTGTCTTTTCTGTTATCTGAAATAAGAAATACCATATTGAGTGGTTTGAAAGTTAATAAAGATGTAGAAAGTCATCTAAAATACTTATATATATATCTCTCTCAATATCCTATTACCTCTTTAATGGCTTCTTCATCAGGTCTTTGCAGGTCTGGGTCATCTGCATTCATGACTTCCTTGGGAACCAGGTCAGTATACTTGCTATAAATGACCTAAAATGTTCAAACACAAGCAGGCTCAAGAAAAGCAGAGAATGAAAAGAAGCAACCTCATTAAATAATTTCAGAAGTCAGCACACTTATAAATTTAGGACACAGATTTTGTCTTTTAGATTTTAAAACCAAGGAAGCTTAAAATATATACACAAATTACTGCCCTGGCTATATAAGTTAATAATTTTCCTTTGACCTCATGCATTTAAATTATTTGAGATCTTCTAATCAAGTCAGTATCCAAATAAATTGTGCCAACAAAATCTTATGCATCAGTGATCCGTATTTTTGAGGCTAAGACTTGAAATTAATGATGATATAAATTGTCTATAGCACCATTATCTTGGATTACAAGCTCATCAGAATTTAAGTCAGGTTACCAAATAATTTTCAAATTCACTGGGCCTGGAAAATTTCATTGACCTCACTCTACTTATAATGTTTGTCTTTTCTGGCATCAACTCTATTCACAGACTAAGAAAATGAACACGTGCCACGGTCAAAAAACCCAGAACACTTTCTTCTGTGGGGAAAAAGAAAAAAAAGGAAAACCAAAACATATTCTATATACACAACTTATTTTATACTCATTTTCCAAATTTAGGACGGCTATAATTTCTACTGGGCTCACCATGTTTCTATGAAGCTGACACTGATGTGGTAGGCCCCCAACAGATAGAGTATTACTTACTTTTGTGTCCATCTATACTTTTTGAATACTTTCATAAAAACTTACATGGCATACTTTACAGAAAAAAAAGAGGTACTGGAAATTTTTTTTTTTTTAAAGATTTTATCTATTTGACAGAGAGAGCACAAGCAGAAGGAGAGAGAGGGAGAAGCAGGCTCCCTGCTGAGCAAGGAGCCCGATGTGGGACTTGATCCCAGGACCCTGGGATCATAACCCGGGCCGAAGGCAGCCACTTAACTGACTGAGCCACCCAGGTGTCCCAGAGGTACTGGAAATTTAACAAATAAACAGCATTCTAGATTTTGCTGCTTGAGTCAGGAATTTTTGATACACATATAAAGAACAACTAGTGAATATGAAAGAAAACCAAATTCCCAGGTACTTAAGACCTTTAAGAATTACTACTATAAACCAGTCTTATATCAATAATTGCATTCTACCATGACATTCCTTAAAAATAGCTTAAAGGAGGGGTGCCTGGGTGGCTCAGTCAATTAAGCATCTGACTTTTTTTTAAAAATATTTTATTTATTTATTTGACAGAGAGATATATATCGAGAGAGGGAACACAAGCAGGGGGAGTGTGAGAGGGAGAAGCAGGCTCCCCGCTGAGCAGGGAGCCTGATGCAGGGCTCGATCCCAGGACTCTGGGATCATGACCTGAGCTGAAGGCAGACGATTAACGACTGAGCCACCCAGGCACCTCAAGCATCCGACTCTTGATTTCGGTTCATTTCATGATCTCAGAGTGGTGAGATCAATCCCCACGTGGGGCTCCATGCTCAGTGTGGAGTCTGCTTGCCTCCCCCTCTGCTTCCACTCTCAATCTCTCTCATAAATAAATAAGTAAGTAAGTAAGTAAATAAATAATTAATTAAATAAAATCTTTACCAAAAAATGGCTTAAAGGAAATGCAGGCTATTCTTAACTTCTTATTCCAAACAACAGAACAAAAAATAACTCCTGGCTGGGCGCCTGGGTGGCAACTGCCTTCGGCTCAGGTCATGATCCCAGAGTCCTGGGATTGAGTCCCCCATCGGGCTCCCTGCTCAACAGGGAGTCTGCTTCTCCCTCTGACCCTACCCCCTCTTGTGCTCCCTCTCTCACTCAAATAAATAAAATAAAATCTTAAAAAAAAATACTTCCTGGCCTATACAACCTGACCTGGCTTTGCCTACAGCTTTAATCTCCCCCTGTACCTCTCACTTCCTCATTCATTATGCTTCAATCACATTAGCTCTTCCTGTTTTTTGAACACAACATGCTTTCCCCCCGGAATTCTGGGCCTTAAAATTAAAAGTGTTGTTCCTAGTTCTTCATGTGAATTCTCAAGCTCTGAGTCTCAGTTCAAAGGTCATGAATGCATTGATGAGGCCTGTCTTGACTACCATGCTAAAGCAACCCTTCCCCACCCAATCACTGTGTCACAGCACTCTTTGAGTACTGTCTTCAAAGCATTGCTCACAGTATGAAATTATTTCCCATTTTACTTGTTTATCTGTATCTCTATTAAAGTAATAATAATAGCTAAAATTTATTAAGCACTTATTCTGTGCCACTATTCTTTTGCTTTATATAGATTAACTACCTGAACTTTTCTATCAACCCTGAGGTATGTACAATGATTATACCTATGTTACTGATGAGGAATCTCTTATTCATTAAAGTTATCTCCAGGGCCTGTAACAATGCCTGGTCCACAGGAGGCATTCAAGTCAATATTTTCTGTACAAATGAATGAATATATGAATTTTAGAGATGCTCAATTCTATGCTAAAGGTGATGATATTGTAGGCCCTACAGAAGGTTCTCTATAATCTGTGGATTTCCCAGAAAAAAATATCTCATGGCTACAGAGAAATCTCTAGCTTGTTTTTCTCAGGAATGAGACAAAGGATCAGGAAAGAAAGTGTAGACAGTTTACCACAAAACATGACCACTGATATGTGAGCTGCTAGTGTCACCATCCTCTCAGTGTCCATTTGGAAGGGACCTAAAACTCAACTCTGGGGACAAGAGTGAGGCTCAGTACATTAAGATCACACAGCTAGTAACTGACCTCAAAAGCCTTATTTCTTTTCAAGATTGAAAAATCTGTACCACATGAGTTTAAAATTACATAACAATACTCTAGAAAATAATATCTAGACTATGAAGAGTTAATTACTTTTACACAGCAATCATTACAGGAAGGGATTCTAAGTAAATGGCTCCCTGGTAGTCATATATGCTCGACATAAAGTCTCAATACTAATTTAGCATGCAAGAGCCATTTGCTGCTTCTTATTTGGGTATTCCAAAGTTAATAACCCTTTAAGTGAATATCAATAAGATTCCAGCATCTCACAAAGCTGAGTGAAGGACATATGAAGAGCAAGATTCCTCCATGGTAATTAACCATAAAACCCCAAATTTTTATTGCTTGAGACCAAATGTGCTGAAGAAACTCAGTATATCCCAGGAGGCAAAGGGGCTAGGGAGGGTTATCTGAAAAAATACAATATACTCTAGAAGGTATGAGGAGCACAAATGAGCTGTGTGAACGATATAAAGCAATAACTCATCTGTGAAACTTTATTTTTATTACTGAAAACTGGCAAAGGACTGGACTGACCTGACAGGATAAATGTGTCAACATATTCACCAATTTGGGGGGTAAAAAGGAAACACCATCTTTAGATTTAGCTTGTTTGTGAAATCATATGAACAAGGCAAAATACAATTATCTTGGGGTCAGTTTAAAGCTGCTGGGAGTTATTTTTTGGGGGGGAGGAAGGGGCTGAAGGCATTCTTTATCATGTATGTAACATTTCCCATAGAACTATTTCAGAAGGAAAAATGTAAACATCAAGGCTTTTTATTTCAAGATTTATCACTCAAGTCACAATTGGGGGGAAAAAAGGATTTAGTTCCATCAAAATTTAATTCAAGAAATGTTTTTCCCTACCAATTTTGTATTACTATAAGTCTTGTGTATACAGTATTTATTTTACATGTAGAGAGATCTATGGCCTTAGACTTGCCCTAGAATATTATCCCTTGCAATCTTGCCTTTTTTCTTAATCTCTTATACCCATGGCTAGCATTTACCATTCTTGACCTTTCACTATTAATATTTCAGTGAGAACTCTCAGGTTTCTGAAGAAAACCAGATCCCTCTGATATAAATCAGAAATTTTTGCACTATAATGTAAATTCAATAATCCAATAAACTATTTTCATCCTATGCCAAAGACCTGAATATCAGCCTCCTGAATGATAATAAATTTTTAAAGCCCCATTTTAAAGCCACATTTAGTAGCCAATCCCTACTTCTAAAACAGGAAAATCAGTGGTTTTATAACAGGGCATTGCTGCCTCCTCCAAGGCACTACAGGCATTTAATAGGTAGTGGCAGTCATGCTAAACATTATACATTGTTCAAGACAGTCCCAAACAATCAAGAAGTGTCCCCTCCTCCAACATGCATTTGCCAACATGTACTCAGTTAATGTTGAATTATTAAATGCATTCAAAAACTTCATGCATTAACCCATCCACTTTTTAAAAAATTAAAATACTTATTTATTAAATTTGTGTAAGAAGCTCAAATGTATATTCCAGGGCATAAAGTCCAGCAAGGAAATACATCCACCAGGAACAATGTTAGAACAGTCCAAGTAGCCACTCTATTCACTATCTTTCTTCTCAATTCATTCAGTGCCCTGCTCATTCTGTTAAAAAATCTTCATTGTGTGTGGGTGTGTGTTTAAAGACTTTATGTTTTTAGAGCAGTTTTAGGTTCACAGCAAAATTAAGAGTAAGGTACAGAGATTTCCTATATACCTCCTATCCCTACACATGCATAGCTTCCCCCATTAGGATTAGGGTTAGAATCAGGGTTGAACCTCTGAGTGGTACCTCTATAAACTACTAGTTTTGGATTCAACTGTAGTGGCTGCATTATAGACAAACATGTAAAGCTTTCAGTGTACAAAGGAATATTACTTTAAAGATCTTTTCGGCCAGAATACGGAAATCTAAAAATAAACAGTTCTAACATTTCTACTCTACTTTCAAAACAAAATAATTACCAACATGTTAGAGAATGAAAAAAACTTTCAGACATGCTCTGGGCATCAGAGAAAATTTGTGGTTTCCAATCTTGAAATTTAATGCAAAATGGGCTAAAACGGTATGTCATTCAAAATTATCAACCTGCCAATACCAAACTACTGTCCTAAAGTTTTGCTTTTTCCTAACCAATGAGAGGAGAGGCAGTACATACCAATAAAGAATAGTGATTATTCCAAAGAAGAAGAGCTGTATCAAAAGAAAGTCAGTTAAAGCCCAGTGAAGGCCTCCACGGCACAGGGGACATTTACAGTATATGTCCTGCTGTATAGGGACCTATTTTTCCTTTTGCAGGAATCAACTATGCTTCCCTACTGGCTCAGAAGTGGTTTTCTGTTATTCAATGAAAACTGCTATCGCTTCTCCAATAATAACTGATGAATGTCTGTGTACCAAAATCTCAAGCACTAAGTTAGGTGCCAAAGAGGAATCCTAAAGATATAATCTCTGTCCTCATAGAGCTTACAGTCAAATGATATAGATAGTGGTGAAAGGTTAAGTACAGCAAAAGGTGATGACTGCTATGATAAACATAGGGAGGAGGAAGAAAGGAAACCACATTTAGCCAAAGAAGCTTAGGAGGAGTACCCTGAAACAGTGAAGAGCGAGCTGCGATTTGAAAGCAACAGAAATGAGTCGAAGAATAGGGGGAGGGCTTTCGCATGCACAGGAGGGCATGCCCAGGAAGTTCCCATGGTAAGACAGAACGTGCCGTATTAGGGAAGCTGCCAGTAGTTCCTCACAGCAGATCTTTACAGAAAATGCCTGAAAGCTTTTTCTTCTTTTTTTAAAAGATTTAAAAAAATGTTTAAGTCTCTCTACACCCAGTGTAGGGGCTCGAACTCACAACCCCAAGATCAACAGTTGTGTATGTTCCATCGACTGAGCCAGCTGGGCGC